GGGGGGGGGGTTGTGCTAGGTAAATTAAAGTTCCCGTAAAATTGCAAACAGCATTTTTAAGAAAATAATATTTCAAAGATTTTAACATATTTACCCCAAACTAATTACTGCACAGTTGTTACAGATTATTCGAACTCAGCTTATAAAAACAAATTTGAGCAAAGTGAGTGAATGAACATATTCAAATTATAGGCTTTCAATGAAATATTAGACAGCTAACACCTATAGGTTGTTCAAAGTTCAAACTATGCCTCGGAGACAGTTACAGTAGGGCGGAAAGTCGCCAACACGACTATATGAGCTATGAAAGCACAATTCTCCGACGTCTGATTTTTGTCCATTTTTCGACCAACTTTTCTATGGAAACCTTGTCAGCAATATCTCTTTCGCAAAAAAGAACCATCAGGTTGTCAAGTCTTTCTTGTGTCATGGTACTTCTTAAGTAATTTTTGAGAAGTTTTAAGCGGCTAAATGTCCTTTCACTCTTGCACACAGAAGGGGGGAGATGTTAGAAACAAGCAGTAAATTTGGGCAACTTCTTTTCTCGGTTGCATTTCATTGCTAATTCCACTGCATCGCGAATTGTAAATTTTGTTTCGCACCTCTCTACTTTCATTCTGTTGTAATACCCGTTGAAAATCTCCAGTTCAGCTAGAAATGCTTCTGGGTCAGGAATGTCGCTTGGAAACTGATTCGCTAGTTTTACCACTTTGTCGATCGTTGGAATTATGTTTGGGTCAAGAACATCTATAGATGGCCTAAATGAGTCCCCCAGGCCATTTATCTTTGCTGATAACACCTCCACCATTGTGTCGAGATAACACCTCTTTTCTATAAAACGTTGCCATAGACATATTGGTCTGAGTTTCAGGATTTGCATCCAGACGTCTCGGTGGGACACGTTTTCGATGAATCCTTTGAAATTCAGCTTCTGCGTCAACGTTGAATTGACTAGCGAATAGGCACGCTGCCTGGACTTCGTTATCAATGGCGTTTTCGGTTCTTCTAATTTCTTCGCCCTGTCTAATTCTATTGAGACTGTCTTTTGTCTCTTGTCTCTTGTATCGCCAACAAAGTACCGCTAACATCCAACTCTTCCGTCTGGAGAAGGTCGACCATCATCTTCATTTTAAACATTATGTTCTTCATGAACATAGCAGCAAAAATAAAGTCAAAGCTTTTTATTTTGCTCAGCAACCCAAATGCTTTGGTTCTGCTCTCTTGGTCAAATTTCCTATCTTGAGATATTTCTTGCAAGCTTTGGCAGATCTCGTCAAAATCTGTTGTGCCCCTTTGTATTTTCCTGACATCGATGATGCGCTGTCGTACGTTTGATACCTGATGGTGGTGGTGTCTGCATTTCTTACTTGTGCTGCTTTCAAAATAGCTTTTACAAGGCCTGCGCCCGTCTTATCGATTACTATCTTGGTCTCGAGTAAACGTTCGCATGGTTTTCCCTCTTCATTAACAAATCGAACAACGAAAGCCATTTGGTCATCATTTGACACATCTGGGGTGGTATCTGCAATTACAGCTGTAAAAGGAGCCTTGCTTATCTCTGCGTCTATCATTTCTCTGCATTCATCGGCTAACATCTTGATAAATTCATTCTGGCTCTCAGGACTCAAGTAAGTTGTTTTATACTTCCGTTTTGCTCGCGAGTCTAACCATCCTTTAAGCGAGGGAACGTGCCGACTCATCAATCCAACTATTTGGCAAAAGTTTCCATCGTCTTCATTTTCATTTTCCCGGAACGCAAGTCCTTGTCGGGCAAGTGTTCTTGAAATGTCTAGTAAAATAGATATCACTTCTCTCTGGTCTTGCAGGAGCTTCTCATCTCTGCGAACGGATTTCCTTGTCCCATAACACTTCAATATGTCGGTCTTCTTGGCAAAAATTAACAAAATCTTGCAATAAAGCCTTATGGGATTTACTGCTAAAGTGCTTGTTTAATTTTCCTTGTTTGCCTTTTCCTTGACTGCCCTTCACTTTATTCCAACTTCTTGTACCTTTTATCCAGGCATCTTCAGCTTTGGGAGATCAATGCCAGATGGAAATAGAGAACACACAAAACAACGATCAGAGTCGTTCGAGATGCTATATATACTCCGATTTTGTACTGACTTTCTGATGTCAGAATTCTTTGGAAAGTTACTTAACTTCGGCTGACAAGGACCAAGATTGATAAGATACCTTGTGTTGGCATCAGAAAGTATTTTTGGTCGCTTTTAAGGATCATGCTGTGTGGAGGGGTTTTCAAAAATATGTATTTGGTCCAAACTGTCGTTGTGGTTACTACGTTGCACGGTATTTTTCTCAGCTACTTTTTGCACATGTTGAACAGAATCAACAATACTTTTGCAGGAAGATATTATCTCACTCAAACACGCATCTACGTCAAGAAAAGGAGCCTCTCACAAGCTTGTCCCAAAGTTTGCAAACTGTACAGCTACATGCTCTAGATTACCAGCAGCGCACAATAAAAATTCCGGGGAATATT